GGATTAGGCACAAGTTATTGCAACTTATCAGCTCCATCTCCCAATATGCCATTACAATAATGTAAAAACAAAATACAGTTATTGTAACAATTTGACATCAGTTTGTTGGGTATGATATAGTTTTGCGTAGACCAACAACATGTTTCAATTAAAGTCACGGAAAATTGAGAATCGCCAAACAATAGAATTTCTATATCTAACGCAACGTTTCAATTATTTGAATTTTGAATTAAAATATGTCGTTCGTTTGAGCAAAGTGGGCAATCACTTAAATAGTTAAAGACATTCACACAAGGATGACCATAGTTTCAAGATGCATTCTCAACGCAATTGACTCTAACAAGGTCATAATTTAAGGAACTGCACTGGTGTCGGAATTAAGTATGTAATATATTGAGTTTGCGATTTCTAATTTTATAGTGAGTTGGTGGACTTGACCAAATACTTGATGCTAGACAGTATTTAGATGAGGATTAGGATCGAACTGAATGTCTAAGTTATTTCAACAGTAAAGAGTTAGTAATGCACAGTCTGAATGGAGGAATCCTATAGGTATTATCTTTGACTTAATTAGTAATGATTAGTATAGATAAAGATTGAGTTATTTAGGAGTTAATTTAAAATGCATCTTATACATTAGTTGAAGTTTCCTCAATTTTCTGCGATTAGATAAGGTTTCAAGACCAGTTTCGTGGTATAAGTATTAATATGGGCTTATCTAATCCAATAATAGTCCGACAGTTCCACAACTTCATACTAAAACAGGTAAAATAAAACTCTTGCAAATTTTTAAAAGAGCACCCCTTTTTAATAAGTGTTTGAATTTCCTTATACATTACTTAAACCATTTACATAATCCCCCTTCTTTGATTCAGATTAAAATGTATACCTTAATGGTCATGATAATCTGTAAGATTTAAGACTTTCCCATCGAATTCTAAGTCTAACTCTTCAACAGTACATCTCTTTTTTTCAGGATTAAAATCAACCAAACATTGTTGGACCAAGTATTAAAAATTTTCAGGTCTCTATTATATTGCATTGCTTGAATTTCTAGACAAGATAAAGATGACTTAAATAATGATGTTTCGCCTGCAAAGAGACGAGACGTCGATTAAAAAATATCTGTTATGTCTGATAAAAATAATAAAATCGGTCTGAGAATAGAGCCTCAATGAGCCCTTCAGAAGAATATGAACTGTTTAAAAATACCTTTTGATATCTATGAGATAAATAATTTTCTAGCCATATAAGCGATTCACCTGATATTCCGTACGTTTTTAGTTTCGCCAAAGGACCACTATGCCAGACCCTATCAAAGGCTAAGGATATGTCACAGAATACAACACGTGTATGTTTTTTTTCATTAGGTGCAATACAAATATAGAAAGACCATGCATAAAATTAGACTGATATTTGTAAAGCAAAGAATTTTCTATAAAGGTGTTGTACAAATGTTAAAAAATCACTCAAAAACTTAACTTCCTAACAGTGTAGTGGATCTATAATTCGAAGAAGAATGTCTGTCACCTTTTGTTTAAAACAATGGTACAGTATTAGCTTATTTCCATTTGTTTGGTCAAATCACTGATAATAAGGACATATTAAATTTAAAAAAAACGAGCGGACTGCAAACAGTGTGTGCGGTATTTTTTAGCATGGTAGCTGGTTTCATCCCCACCCGAGGCCTTGCCGAGTTTCAATATTTGTAGAACATCGCGTATTTCAGTTGAATTTAACCTAATTGAATTAATTTGTTTTTCAGTTTTAGGCTCAATAAATGGAACATTGGTGTTACTGTCTTCTACTCTAGTAATACTACAAAAATATCTAATAATTCAGCTTTATCGTCATCTCCAGTGACAGGATCTATAAGGCAATGTATATGTTGTGAAGTATCAGACGTTTTGATCAGCCTTTTATTTAATTTCCAAAAAAAATTTCCATCAGAAGATGAGCATTCGGCAACGATATCGAAGACATTTTTAATAAAAAGCAACACGTGCATGTTTTTTCATGTTAACTTTGTTCCGCTGTGATTTAAATTTATCAATGTCTGCCAAGCGTTTGGTTGACCTCGCTATTTCATGTAGCCTATCCCTAATTCTTAAGTTATTTTAAACTTCAGAGGTCATTCAAGTCTAATTATTAGGGTATATATTTACATGTACTTCTTTACTAGGAATACTTTCATTAGCAAAAGGCAGAAAAAATGTCCGTAAAACGATCACAGGCTGAATGATAAAAATGTCTATTCAATTATATAATTAAGTTCATTGAATTTGTCAAAATTTGCCCTCTTGTACTGCCAGTTTTTCCGTTTATAGACCGGTTTAAAAAGACAAGGAAGTTTCATGGAAGCAGTACAACCTGACCAATAGAAATTACAGAGTAGTAGATACCGGAAATAGAGTACGATAATATCATAGGATCTAGTAAGCTAGATCTAGTACATCCAGTAGGATCTTTTATAACATTAGTTAGTGACAAGGAATTAAGGATATCAAACAGAACATGATGATTTGAAGCAGTAAAGAAGTCAACATTTAAATCTCCGGTTATTGTAACATTAGAGGATATACTGAGAGCATTATTTACAGACAACCTGAAATGTTCCATTCATGTAAGTTGAGTGGGATAGGTTGATTTGGTCCATATTACCTCATCACCAGGGTATTCCAATTCAGGCAAACGATCAACATTCAAAAGATTGTTTATATAAATCAAAATACTACTCCCGTCAAATTGTCTGTCCAGAAGGAGAATGAAAACCTTCAATACATAAAGCATTAGTGATCTAAATGAGTTTCTGTTAGACACATAACGTCATATTCATTTACTATGTCTTCTTCAGTGTAGTTTAATTTGTGTCTAACACTCCTAACATTTAAATGAGATATCCATATACTGTAGTAATAACAATAACAAAATCACTTAAAATTCGAAATTTCGGAAACAATAAATAAACATGTAATTTTAATGACTAATTAACTAAAAGAAAGATCGCTTTGCACAAAAAAAAAAAAAAAAAAAAAAGAATTTATATCAAAACAAAAAGCAAGAAATGACTTTGCCAAACATCTCCCGTATAAAAAGAAGAATAGGAAAACAACTGTTAATATTTAGAAGTGGTGTCAGACTTTCACAGTGGTAGTAGTATTCCCCACCCAGACGGCACAGGTAGCAACACTATACAAGCACTCATAATCCTTCAAATCTATCTAATGTCTTCCGTTCTTGGTAATTTTTCAGCTTTCTTTCCTATCCTCCGTGTAAGACTGATCACCTTGTCATCTAGATTGGGGGACCCCAATACAGAAACCAACTGCCATGATATTGAAAACAAAAGTATAAGTATATAGTTTGATCAGTAGACAAAGCCATCCACTTGAGTCTCGACATTAGGTAGACATGAATGCACGTTCACATAGATTATAAATATTTCACATTTAAATGCTACATAAAATACAATAAACACTCATTTCATCAACACAAAGAATATATCCACATATATAGATACAAGATACATATATACACCGACCAACTCTTAACTCCACACTCGCACACACCGTCAGACGCACCCCCACTCACTCATACACCACATACAATGCCGTGTATATATATATATATTAAATTTTTACCAAACCCACATCCAAGTATTGTGTAACGTGTGGGGAATATGTGTTCATATTTAATTATATATATGTATGCAACTATGCATGCATTACTATAAATGAGCATAGTCGTTACCTGTACGATCATATAAAGTGCCTGTTTTTTTTAAATTTATTTACGGGTTACCCGTAGCGGTTATGTATGGATTTAAACCCAGACTCACACAATTGGTGTATATCGTGAACGAAAAAAAAAGACATACCTGAATCATTATACATACTAACATTATCCCTTATTATTGCTACTCGCACATCATAACCTGGTAAATAGGAAGTACCTCACATAACTTACTCTGGAATTAATTAGAATTACACGACAGTATGCTGTCCTGATTTTTGTTTTGTCAGATAAATATATATATAAGCATATCTATATCTTCATTATGGAAATTAATTTGTTTTGTGTAATTAAAGACTAAAATAAATGTTCTGTCATTAAAATTTAAAATATAATCATATTATTATTTGTTTAAGTTTATGATCCTTAACTTATTTTGTTCAGTATATATTAAATTTTTACCAAACCCACATCCAAGTATTGTGTAACGTGTGGGGATTCAATTTAAGGTACGTGTATATATGAATATACAAGAAGTCACATACCCGACTTTACTTGAAATGTACAATGGTATAACTTTTATTAAAACGTATTCACAAGTGTATATATGAACACACACACACACACACACACACACACACACACACACACACACACACACACACACACACACACACACACACACACACACACACACACACACACACACACACACACATATATATATATACATATATATAACTCCTGCATTGATACATCTTCAGTGTACATTGGCACGAGGCATATAAAGTATGAGATACAGCAATGGTTAGAAAAAGTATATACACACACACACACACACACACACACACACACATATATATATATACATATATATAACTCCTGCATTGATACCAGAAAAAACATAAACATATACACGTTGGTTAATGAAATGGTTTAAAGTTTGTTGATACGAAGCAAGGTACAACACAACATGCATGTACAAATATACTATCGAGGGATCATTTCAAATACGAACGGGTATAGCATATTTCAAATAAACTATAATTTCAATTTCTCATTTTAAAAAAGTAATTTAAACAAGTGTTATGGTGTCACTTGCATATGAACAAGGCAATATACCACCACCACCACCACGGAACAGGAAAGTCAATAATATAAGTACGGTGATTTGAAATAGCTGTATCTTAATCGTATATGGAATATAGTGTGGACAATTATATATGACCTACTTCCTGTTTCATTATGAACCCATTGTTTACCTGCAGGTTTCTGTGAGTGTAGATATTGGCGCAGACGAGCTTTAATTATCTCAGGTTCAACAATGGATGAAGAAGAGACGAAATCTTTCTTTGGTTGTTTCGTACGGTTGCAGCGTCACCATAGACGACTTCGAGATTTTATCACGCTTCTGGCCCTAAATGATGTGATCGATGACAACGAATATACCAGTATTACAACATCGATGAAAAAGCATTCTCCCATTGATCTTAGGATAATCAAGACAATACCAAGCCGCTGCAGTACTGATAGACTTCTCAAATGTCTGAGTATAAATCGTAAACTGCACAACAGTTTTAAGAAAAAACATCGAAATACTCCTTCGCCCTTAGTCACTCCACACAGGTTAAGCCTAAACAACTCAAACGATACATATGTTGATAACTTTTATGAGCTGTTGAAAGAGAGAGCATTACGGAGTGGGTCTTTGGAGTGGACTGCAGATTTCAAACGGTGGACACGCCAGCTTTCTTCCAAACTTCAAATGCTGCCTTGTGGCACCCATAAACGCAATGTAGCTGACTGTTTTTTTGTGATGCTGGATTTGCAGGCAGTCATAGAGAAACGCCATGAGGCAGATAAATCTCAGCTTTGGATGCGTCCAGTGTTTCAGATGATGGAAACAATTCTTTGTGAAACATCAAATCCTTCACTTTCAAGACTCATATATCAATCTCGGAAAGGTACCGCGTGTGCTCAATCTCATCAATTCGACGAAGCTTTGAAGTATGCCTCTCTTGTTTTGTGTGATGTCGCTATGTTTTCGAAAGGGAGACAGATTGGAAGCTGTATATTCGCAGTCGTAAATATGTACCTACAATACTACAGTAGTCTCTGTGGTGCTAATAGGAAGGAAGAAGCGTTGGATTTGAAACAACGGATCCTGTTTTGGATCGAAGTGGGATACAGACAATTCGACAACGAGGACAGTGATATGAAAAAGACATGGAGAAGAGTGTACTTGGATAAGAAGGCCTTCTGTCATCTCGGAATAGATATTTTATCCAGGGACATACCAAATGCTGTTATTACTTACACCGATATAACAACCGCAGAACAGTGTATTGTCGAAATGATGAACCTCAAAGAGGGTATGGAAAAGCTGAGGATGTTGCATTTTTATGTTGCATGTGGAAAAGTGAATAAACTAAAATGCCCATCCGAGGATGGAAACGGCTTTTATGTAAAGGCTTTACAGCTCGCTATTGAAGGGAAACTTCATTCTGAGGAAGCAGTGTTGAAAGAATATTTTCACATTCGCGAAGCTTCAGAAAATGTAGACGAGACAATCGACAGGGACGAAGCTGAAAATCCATCACCGAAAACCGAGGAAGACCAAAGCCAATTCGGGGATTTAGTAGAAGGATTTATGCAATGTCAAATAGAACGCAAAACATCTTGAGTTACTTTTGGATAACATCATGATAAAGAAATAATATCATTGTCAATCAGTGGTGAATATTAATTTATTAGAAACAACTTGTTGGCATTTTATCGACGATGGTGGTTTGTTGAAATTACCAATTTTCTTATCTTGAATCGTTCTATGAATTCTGGAGACATAATGGTTGTATTTTTCCACAAACTTCATTTGTAATTCTCCTTAGCTCCAAATTAAGGAGGAAGTTCAAAGCAGCTAAGACGCCATCTTGGGATTTGACATTGGTACAGTGGTAGTTGTTTCGTGAGAAGTATATATTGCATGATAGATCATGCTCAATTTTCTTTATGTACGTTCCTCAGGCTGTGTTCAATGCGCCTGGCTCAGAGCAACAATATGTGTGACTGGTGGGCATCTTAGATTTTTACAGGTAGAATAGTTGATGACAAGCATACGATTGTGAGAGCTTTTGTATCAAACCAGGAGCCGCCCAATCAAGATATTTCTGAACTTGTGTGTAGAAAATGTCAGAAAATGTCTACATAAAGCATCTATCTCCCGGAGTGACATATATAATAAATTTCCCCTGGTGCTTTCTTAGGGCATTGCTATAAGCTTTCATTTTTGAAAACAAATTATAACACTGTCTGGTTAGAACGATGTTTCAAAATGTCTCATTTGAGCTGTAACTTATTTTGTAAAATCGTCCATTATTCTATCAACTTTGTTCGATTTGGGGAACACTGATTGCCCGAAATGTTTTTCCGTCCTTGAACGTAAATGATTCAAGAATGGTTTTCATATATTACAGTGGTTTGGAGTCATGTTTAGTGCAACACCTTCGTTAATTATTACTTAGTACTTGTGGAACGCATTTGCATTCTTGCTTATACGCATAACAAAGAAATGGCATCAATTAACGTTAATCGGGTACAAATATCTTGTAGACACACCAGGGATTATAGATTATAGATTTATAGATTTATTCGAAGAAAACGCTTGCCATGGCATATCGTATTGAATATTGTTTAAAAATACAATTAGAAAATCGACTGTAAGTCAAAGAACTGTATATAGAGTTTTAGAAGTATCTAAAAGTATTCTTACTTTCTGTAATCTTGAATTACTTCTGTATCATTTAAATGTATGTACAAATAAGTGCTGTTAATCGACACTCTTTCATAGAAGTGTCATTTTGGTGCAGGTCATCTGCCCTGCACAGAGTATAATAGATATTGTCTTTATAATCATGCAGGTATGCATGGATATAATGGTTTAGGACAGCTTACGAGCTTCAGATGGTTTTCAAACAATATGGATGTACAGGTGTTGAATTTCACGAGTATATTTTATCGTATCGAAATCACCACGCCACTAATTGCGGGCCTACATGTATTTTAATTAAATTCCTAATATATTGTAATATATAAAAAGCTTTGCTGCCTGGAGATCTTTATATGGGTACGAATCATTGTAATTAGAGAACATAACCTTTAGTGATTTTACAACGAATTCGGAATATAAATACGAGAGTATTTTTTCCATAGCAAAAGTTAAAAAAACAGCTTTTCAAAATGGTCTGTTAACATATAAGGTAAATAATCTTGACATCCGGTTTTTGTTTTTTGGTTTTTTTTTTTTTTTTTTGTTTTTGTTTTCTTGTAATTTTTTATTTCTTATATATATCAATACGTCATGACTTGTTTTCTTGGGCTGCTGCTTTGGCTTGTCAATGTGTGAGGGTGCGTGTGTGTGTGTGTTTGTTTGTGACGGTGTGTATGTGTGTGTGTGAGGGTGTGTGTGTGTGTGAGGGTGTGTGTGTGTAGGTGAGGTGTGTGTGTGTGTGGGTGTGTGTGTGTGTGTGTGTGTGGGTGTAGGTGGGTGGGTGGGAAGGTGTGAGGGTGTGTGTGTATGTGTGCGTGTGTGTGGGTGTGTATGTGGGTGTAGGTGGGTGGGTGGGAAGGTGTGGGTGTGTGTGGTTGGGTGTGGGTGTGTGTTTTCCCATCCTTTATATGTTATCGCTTTTATTTACAAGTTAATACGGTTATAGTCTTAGCAATACTTTTTTACATGACAGTCTCTAAATACTATATTTATCTATTAAGTTTAGGAGTATAAAAGGCTCAGAAACGTTATGGAATATAGTTAAGTTAGCTTCTGCTATTCATAAAAATGATTACTCTATTTCCTTTTGCCTCAAATTTCCAAGGGAATATGCCCTGGTCGCTTTTGGTTACACTTTGCCTTTAGTTTTTGTATGCATGTATATATATATATATATATATATAATGTTCTAAAATTTATTTCATATTATATTTATATTATGAAATCTATCAGAATGAATAGATGCAATACACCGTACATCAGGATTTTTGCGCGTATCAATTTTTTGTGAATTAAACGACCCCGCTCTCCAAATCATTTACAGAATTTAGGTGACAACATGCCCCTGAACACTTTCTAGTCGTAATTACTTCTATGATAAAAAAAAACTAGTCCATATGTAATTATCTAGTATGACTGGTCAGTAGATTTCCGATTGATATTAGAATCTACACTGGTATATATGTCAGCTTTGGGCATTTTGGAGTATTTGGTTTTCAAAACGGGCCTTTCAAATTTCTTGTGACGATGAAATCGCAAAAATTACAAGAGGTACATTTTGGAAATTTTAGTTACAATTGTACAATGATAACATTTCGCCTGTGGAGAGGTGAAAGTTTACTGTAAAATCATAAAGGACACACATCCTTTTCTTTAAAGTTTAGTTTCCACTGGAAATGATTTTAAAGATTTTAAGTTTGGGATGACATTTTGATACTATGCCTATTTAATGTAATCGATATTGTAATTTCAATTATTTGTGTTATATTTATTTAAGTGGTTAAAGTCAGCATTCTTTGTGTAAAGTACAATTTCTAAACAGGTGACCGTTAAGGCCGCTGACCTCCTTGTTACCTTTATTTACCTCTAATATCTATATTTATCAAATGTAATTCGCACAAACACATGTGTAGTTACATAAGAAGATATAGACTTATTTTTTGAAACGGCTTATTTTTAGGTCGACTTATTGTCAAGTTTTTAGGGTATATACATGGTATCAAGAGAGATTACTTTTGTTTTATACACAATGTGAGACAGGTTTACGAAAGGGCACATTAACATTAAGACCGCCTCGCTATCAAGCCCATTTTGTTCCAAAACATTAATTTACGTTATATAATTGTATTTCACAATGTTTGTTTTTGCTTATCAGAACACAGAATTTCACCACGTTGATATGACCGCTCACGTGCCGTTGCTTTGTGATAAAATATTATTTAAGTAATAACACGAATGAAAGTGAACTCCACCTGGTAATTAAGACTACTTTTGTTCAGTCCCTAAGGTGATTTTATCGGCGATGTTTGTATTCTAGTCACTAAGTCTACATGTTCATGAAATAGTTTTCCTTCTTCTGCTTCTTCTTCTTCTGACCCGGCATCAGGAAACACTTAATATTTCGGTCAAATCTGATAATGTTTCAATGAATGAGAAGGTTTAATTTCACCTCAAAACTCTTATTTATGTGAGAATACAGATTGGAGATGTACATATGTTCCCGGATTGATGCTTTACATATACATATTTTCTTTAGTTTTTGTTTAAGTTTTGTAAAAAAATATATATGCCATTTCTGTTGAAGGTGGTGGTTCTTTTAATGCTAACAGAGACGTATATGTGTCTCTGATACTAATAAATAACAAAATATGATATTTACAAGTATTTAGAGTCGTTGGCGTTTCATTTTGGTAAATAATGATCCTTGGTAAACAAAAACCTTGTCTCGAAATATATCTCTTCTTCATAGTAATAATTTCTGTAGGCAATACGACCTACTGCAACACGTGTAAAACCTTTGAGAGTAACTGTGTGTGTGTTATTACTATGCAACATGACTAACAGCTCTGATATAGGAACCATACATTCGAGACCTAACAGATTATTATACATAATGATTAAACATAAAATAAAACTATCGTCAAGAAGCATTGTACGTACCTTAAACGTGGAAATCCTGATTTTCAAGGAAGTGTTTCACGATTATTGACTTAAAGTTGGATTGAACGATGTCATTGAAAACCCGGAGGCTTATACCGACCACACATCGCCAATCATACACCCAGATACGGCAGAACATCTGCGCATGAGAACATCGCCTTCGGCTATAATTGTAGCAAACTGTTGAAAATCTGTCGATCTCAGAAAATCTCGGTTATACATCTAAAGAGTCACGTGAAAACAAGACTGTTGATTATGAAATAGGAACCAATACCGATAAAAAGTACATTTGTACATTTAACGTCATCCATAATTTGTAAAATAAGATCCTAACCTAAATTTTATATCATTTTAAAACGTTTGTATTTCCCTATATCCTATTTCAAAACATACAACTAAGAACAGGAATTAGTGTTTGTTGAGTACGTACATACAAACAGACCGCCGATATCCTCAGCCGAGGCCATCCTTCATCGCGTGTTTCGACCCCTTTCTCGGTACACTCTCAGGATGGGGGGTCCACAGTGGTGATCAGTCACTGCGCGTCGGTGGTGGGTCTCCAGCTTCTCTCGTCCCTCATCATCCAAACCCAACAGGATGCCCTCTCTGCTGCCTGGGTGGGCCGCTGCACTGCCCTTCTTCTAGTACAACCGGTAACACCCAGTTCACTGAGCATTCTCCAAACAGATGGTGCTGGGAAGCCTCTACACCCATTCTCTTACCGAGAAGTTCCAAGTTTTCCAGCCTTTCTCCCTGCATTCTGCCAGTAGCTCTTCATACTTGGCCCTCTGGTCTCTCGCTCTCCTGCTTTAATGATCATGTGCATGCCCATCACAAAGAGAATCACAGATATTGTGCCACCAGTAACGATTCCCTTCTGTAGTTCCAGCCATGAAGTTGTGAATTCTTTGGTGGTAAATCTCCGCTGTATCCCACTGCAGTAGCTTCTGATCAGGTTCCTAAAGTGTTCTGGTATGTGGTAATGCCTTAATGCCTCGTCTGTCAACATATGTGGGACAGTTCCGTAGGCATTAGCTAGGTCCAACCATACCACTGTGAGATAAGTTTTGTTCACTTAAGCTTCCTAGATCAGCTGGGAGATGACGCTGGTGTGTTCTATGCACCCGGAGAAGCCCGGTACCCCTCCTTTCTGTACTGATGTGTCAACGTACTGGTTCTTTGTCATGTAGGCCGTCATTCTCCTGGCAAGCACAGCAAAGAAGATTTTCCCTCTACATTCAGGAGTGAAATGGTCCGAAACTGGTTGATGTTTTCGGAGTTTTCCTCTTTCGGAATCAAGCATCCCTCCGCCTTTTTCCAGCACTCCGGGATCTTTCCTTTCCTCCATACAACTTTTAGAAGTTTCCATAACCGCTGAAGGATCTTTGGGCACTTCTTGTATACCTTGTACGGTACACCATTTGGACCTGGAGCTGATGCTGATCGTGCTTTCATGACAACGTCCCTCCCCTCTTTCAA